GCCCCCTCCCCTCCCGCCCCCTCCTCACCCACTCCATCCCCCCTCCCCGCCCCCGCCCCAGTTAAAATATAACCCTACCTACACTATGTCCGAGGTATGGAGTGGATCTCGCCTCACGTGGAATGATTAAGATGTTACGGAGAGAAATTATAACAATTACTATAATAATTATTCATTTATCTCTAATATCTGTCCTCTCATCTAAGCATGTGCTTTGTAGTACATATATGATTCCATATAGGTTTGCGACTTTTCACGTGAAGCGAGATCAACTCCACACCTTGGACATAGTTTGGTTAAGGTTATATTTTAACTGGGGTGGGGGCGGGGAGGGGGATGGAGCAGGGAGAGGAGGGGGAGGGGGTAGGAGGAGGTGGGAAGGAAAGGGAGGGGGCGGGAGGTGTTGGGGCGCGCGCAGCGCGTCGTGCTAAACGCACTTGCAACTTACGTGTTTAAGTCCATCATTTTTCTCGAAAACTATCACTCGTACAGTAAAAATAAATAAGACGTAAAATGCATATTTCAAAGAGATCTACAACTTTTGTTTAAAACCCTTTTCAAAATTTTTAATATTTGGTGAGATAAATATTAGAAACCATATTCTATTCGTTAAACATTTTTGTTAATAACTTTTTAACGAACCACGAGCGACGGCTAAAACCTTCTGAAGGTCACTCAGGGTCATGACCTTGACAACATATGTCAAGGTCATCGAGATTGGAGGGTGGTCCGTTATTCTATATAATTACCTACGATTTTTATTGTTATAAAAAGCTTTGCAAATCTATATCATTTTAAGACACTAATAAGTCAAATTATTAAGGGAAACAAAACGGTTTCGAAAAGACAAGTTTCACGATTAAGAAGGTTCAAAGCTCTATTTGTGAAGAACAGCATCCAATTTACCCGTGATTACTCGTAAGTATTCATCATAACTTATCAATAATGCAGAAGGGACGCTCTTGTCAACAAAACAAAATTGAAAATTGTTTCAAATTCGAATGTTGCCTTTTCAAATGTTTCCTTCAATATACTTGTGTAGTACTAAATTGTCATTGTATAACGAGCTAGAGGTTATATTTCAATATTTTTAGTTTTTACCAATTGCAAATTTCATAAAACTAATAAAAATTCTTTCAGAATAGTAATTTTTGCGATATTAATACCGATATTCTCATGGGCTATATTACTTTTGGCAATTGGCGATGATCCAAAGAACTTGAATATCGGGATTGTTAACGATGAAGCTGGCAATTGCGACAGCAGCAACTTTGGCAATATTTGGAATGATGAAATCAGCTGTCACTTCAGCAACCTCAGTTGTAGATTCCTGAACAATTTGGACGACTCCATTGTGACACAGGTATAAAAATTTAAAAATTAATCATGTAACGTAGTTATTTAATGATGTTGTACATACAATATGTATATTAAAGTAGGATCAAATAAGCTTGCAAAATGCCTACTCAGTGCGTATGTGGACGCTCTTTATTGCTCTTACCACACATGCAAGACGAACAAATTTATGTTTCAATCACAAGAGCTTACTCTAACGTTTTGCACGGGTAGGCTTTCCACTAACGGCTCCACTCGGCTAACGCACTGTTGCCGAGAGTAAATACAGAACAAAGCACACTCGAAAGTCCTAGGACTAGAAATATCAATATACAAAAGACACGACACATAAATATAATGTAGCGTGCACGGATGTCTTTAATGTATATGGTTAAAATGGCACTATCTGTATTCTCGGTATCCATTTGTCTGTCACCTATTTATTCCGATACACATTGGAAAAATTTTATTCAATATAAATTAATGGAAACCGATTAATTATCATTAACACGTTTATTGATGATTCTCATTAATTATATTGTGTTTTCAGAAGTACTATAACAATATTTCAGAGGCGAAATATGATGTTCAAAGAGGAGAACTTCATGGTATAATATATTTTCATCATAATTTTTCTGAAGCTTTAAAAATACGAGTGGAACATGTTACTTTCGCGAAGGATTCCGATCTTCTTGCTAGTCAGATTCAAGTTTTCCGTGATATGAGCGGTACGCTATATGTTGTACAGAGCATTCTACAAATAGTTAAGAAATTTTATTAATTTGTATACGTGTATGTATCTACACACATACACAAACACGCGCGGGCGGTCGCGCGCGTACGTAGAAGAATGTATTTAAATAGAAAGTTTTATTATTTAAAATACTACACAAAAAGGAATTTGAAAGATTAAAACAATTGCACGTACTAAATATTTTGACACGAACGACATGTAAAATAATAAATTTGTTACAAATGTTTAAATTTATAATGGCTTTTGTCACAGAGCTACAAATAGGACATTTTCTACAGAAGCATCTATTTGAATGGTTTCTAGACGTTTTCAAGGCTATCATGAGTGACTGTAAATATTTGCCAAAAGTAGCCACTCCGCCGATACGAGTCAGTATATTTTATAACTTTCAATTTTATAAGTAAATCTCTTTCCATTTTTCTTTCTCTCTCCGTATACCTTGCGTAACACTACGAAGAAAATTCAATTTTCTATCCTTTTCAGTTTGAAGATCCTATATATGGTACTACTGATTTAAAGTATATAGACTTCGTGATACCATCAATTCTAGCAGTGTAAGAAAAAGTCATGCCAACATAATAAATAAACTTAATCTACTAAACTACTTATAGTATTGTAATATGTTTTTGCAGAGTAGCCTTCAATATGGGCAATGTTGTCTCTTCCATCTTGATAATCACAGATCGAGAGGAGGGTGTCTGGAATCGAAGCTTAGTTCAAGGTATTAATTTTTTAATGACACTACGAAATAGAGTTTACGAATATTTCTTTGCCTTTGTATATTTTATGACATTAATGTGAACATATTGTAAATACGTGATAGGGGTTAAAGCAAAAGAAATTCTGCTGTCTCACATTGTTGTTGAGAGCATCGTCACAATTATCCAGTCCATTACGATAATTCTCTTAGTCTTCCCTGTATGGGGTTTGGAATGTAAAGGATCGATATTGGTTATAATCTTCCTTCTCTTTCTCAACACGTTTTGTGGAATGATGTGTGGTGAGTACTCCACTCTGTATATCAAAAAGCGTACAGCAGCAATTCGGAATCAATTGAAAATTTCCTTGATTGTTTGTGTTAATGCATTTGCAGGTTTTGGTATATCTGCCTTTTGCACAACTGTTTCGTCGGCCATATTCTTGTCAACCGGAAATTTCTTAACGACAATATTAATGACTGGTGAGGCTTTACTCTATCTGTTTCTCGGAAATTACCTCTCACTTTAATTAGTTATTATATTAATTTTAAATTTAGTTTTTTATTACGTAATGATATATAAACAGTATACCTACAGTAATATATAAAACGTTTAAATAAAAAATATCAAAATTAACATGACCAATATACAGCGGATAATTATCTTCTTACGTTAATCGAATTTTTATTAATATACAAATTTGACAAAATTATAGGATCTTATTGGCCAACAGAGGCAATGCCGACATGGCTTGACTGGATTAGCTACATATGGCCAACTACATTGGCCTCCCAATCTTTCAGGGGAATCATTTACAAAAATTCTTCCATTTCTGATTCGGAAGTTTATATTGGTATTATAACAACATTAGGGTGGACAGTGCTGTTCTTTGTCGTAACTATATTTGGTATGAAATTGAAATCGTAGTATTATTAGAGGTTTTTGTCTACATTATATAAATACAGT